GAGACTCTTCCTTGAATTCTCTAACATTTATTAGAACTTCTAATGAACGCTGTGCTTGCTTGTCTATACTCGGTTGGTTGAATGACTTACTCCTACAGCTGGTTCCGAGACTTCATCTCTTGGCCCTCTAGTTCCCACTTACTATAGAGGTTCCTCCTTCTATCACCCCTCATGTACGCTAGGTGGTTAGGTGCTCCCTCCATATAGGATAAGACAATCACACAACAGATCATCGTGAACTCTTGCATTCCCTTTTCAACTGTCCCATCGACCTTCTCAACTTTCATGATCTAGGTAGTTTGTAGGGTCTCTAATATCCCAATCCATCCTCTTTCTAGCTCAGCGTTAACTCAATATTCCGCTCAATCACGACTTATAAGTGGTCCTTTATTTGTAATGCCATTTACCAGCTAACATTTATTCTCTCTCATATGCTATGTCCTTTCTTACGCATAACTCACCATTGTTTTCTACTAGGCTTGGTTTAGACTGCAGTGGAACTTTCCTCCATGTCTCATCTAATGGTGGTCGTACTGAGACCATAACTTGTCCTCTACATCATTTATCTTGATGCTTGTCTTACTCATTCTAAAGGCTTGTCGTCGACCTAACTCCCTAGGGTCATGTACCCTCTTCTCTAGTGATGTAGTTTATGTGTAAGGGTTCCTTTATCGTCACACGTAAATGACCATGCCTCCTCTCCGCCTTGACTTATTGAATTCTTGACGCTCTTTCATACTCCCTATAACCTACTTATTTCCTCCTTCACTTCCTTTTTACTACCCTAGCTTTTCTTAAAGTCTAAGCTTTCCAATGCTCCTTGTCACTATGTTGTAATAGCATCGACCACTAAAACTAGTTGAGGGACTTCTCGTGGTACCTTTTCATTTCTTGACTCATTGCCTCCTTGCCACTGCTTAAGGTCAAGGACCATAAAATCCTCCCATTATTATAGCTACTGACATCTAGTGACGGTAGCTCTTTCTCCGTAGATTCATAGTTCTCCTATTTGTTTATCTTAACCTATTAGATCATTTGCTAGTGGCTAAGTAGGAAAGATCCTCGTAGTGCTCCTTCGACTCCTTCGAATCCTCGTACTTATACCTCGAGATATCCCTTTGCGATTGGCACATCTTTTATTAGGACTAAATTTATTTATCTCAATACGATTAGAGTGGACTGGAGATTCTATATACTCTTAAAAGGAGACCCTTGACTCATTTTCCTTTCCTTTAAAACAAAAGCCTTTAAAAACCGAGACCGGTATTCCAGTATTCCTTGGAGACCAAGGTACAGAGGAAGACAGGCTCTGATACCAAAATGTGACACCCTAGCTCGGCTGAGCACTAATTTTACTAAAATGCCCTTGAAAAATAAAATACTCAAATCTTAAATTGCAGCGGGGATAATTTTCATAAATAAAATACTGAAAACACACTCTTGTAGTTCAAAGCAACGCCCTAACACATGGGCAAACTCAATACTTAAAATCTCAAAATGATCTCCAGTCTATACTCATAATCATAAATGTAAATAACTAATAATATCTAATGTTTTTGCTACTGAAAACCTTGACTAAGCATCCTCTGTGACGCTTATACTTCCCTCCTCTAGCTGGCTACCATCAAACTCGTTGCTCACTAACTGCTCCTCTATCTCCTCCTCTAGCTCTTCAAACTGGTGAGTAAGATGGGGTCAGTCTACGCCCTTACGTTTAACATCTTATTAATACTTGATCACTTTACTTAACTTAGTGGAAGTTGTTTTGTACTTCCACTATTAAAAATCTTAACTCTTAAAACTTTATTCTTAAAGCTCAAATCTCCATTTAAATTCTTGACTGACACGGGGATCCCTCAGTAGCTAGTTCGTTGCCCAACTCATACGTATGAGAGCCTGTCCAGGCTTTCCTTAAACTTGAACTTATCGTGGAATGCTCTTCTTCCACGATTCTCAAGAGCATAACTGCTGCTCATCTTAAAATATCTCAAGAGCATAACTGTTGCTCAACTTAAATATCTCAAGAGCATAACTGTTGCTCTGTCTCGAAGATCTCAAGAGCATAACTGCTGCTCTATCTGAAAATCTCAAATCGCAACGGACTGGCGCAAGTGACTAAAAACTCTTAAAATGATTTCACCTTCTTGAAGGTGAAGTACTTCTTAAAAAGAACTTTTTCTTAACTTTAACAATGACTCATAATTAACGTAAAGCTTTAAGGTAAATAACACACATTCACCTCAAAACATAGCGCAAACAAAGCACAAATACGATAATCAAGCAACGGTAATCACTTCGCTAAAATACTTAAAATCATAATACTTAAAAGAATTCGTAAGGCGTAGAATTTACCCACTTTACACTCACCTTATTAATTGATGAGTTTGTCTAGCTTCCAATATTCAAAGATAACCACTGTAGGTCGAGTCGTCTTTGTGGACCCTTTATGATCCCATATCAGTCCAACCCGCAGGTTGAGCTAGTCCTCGCAAGAATCCTCCCTCTTGACAACAAAATGAATCAAAGTTCCAGCCTGAATCACATGTTGCCTGTAATTCCATTCCCAGAAACACTAAATGGACTTCCATTCAATGCATTTTTCGTCCCCCGTCAAATACTCATGCACGTAAACCACTCTTTCCAAACATCACAGACATGAGCATATAATCCTTCGCATAGGCAGCCAACCTTGTTCAATACAGAGTGAATTTGGGCGAACCACAGCAGACGCCGTGTCACATCCCGATAACTAAAACCCTTAAATAACAGTTTTGCTCCGGAGCATATTTAAAATTTTGAAAGAAAGAAATAATAATGTGCTCGAAATACCAATACTGAAAATACATCTTATAATTTAAAAGCAAAGCCCTAACATTTGGGCAAACCTCAATCCATAAAGTCTTATCCTTTTAAATCTCCAGTCATTACTCATGATCATAAAGCAAATAACTAAAGATTACAAATGCTGCTTACTCCAATCCGTGGTCAGACATCTTCAGAAGTGCTCACGTGGTCCTCCTCTGTTAGCTTGCTCTCTCACTGGATGCTCCTCGACTGGATGCTCCCTAGCTCCTCCTCTACGACCTGGTGAGTGGGTTGGGGTCAGTCTACGCCATTACTTAAACTTGAATCACTTACGGGTGTTCCCTTAAGTGTTCACCTCAAAACTTGTGGAAGTTGTTCATACTTCCACCCTTTAAATTTTAACCCTAAAAAACGTGGGACTTGTTGTTACTCGCCACCCTAAAAAATCTTAAACCTTTGACCGACACTGGGATCCCCTCACTAACTAGTCCAGCCGCCCAGCTCATACGTATGAGGGCCAACATAGGCCTTTCCTTAAACCTTTGTATGGGAGTAATCGATTCAACCCCATAAACATTAAGAGTATATCATACTCTTCCTTTAAACTTCATGTGATGTCTAAGTGATTCATCCACATGTTCCTTAAGAGCAAACTTGCTCTTCCTTTAAACTTTCACTGGGGCGGGGGACTGGCGTTAGTGAACTACCTTTAAAATCTTTTCACCCTAATCTAATTAGGAGTGAAATACCTCTTAAATGTTGATCCTTAAAGATCAAGCAACCTTCATTAAATAACATAAATATAAAAGCTTCAAGTAAATACTGACAGCTCAAATAATCATATACTTCACAATCATAACTCAAATAGAGCATCTCAGATAATATCTCAAATAGAACATGCTTTATCAATCACGACATAAATCAATCACTGGCATACAATTCACATAAACACACGTACGTAAAACTCGTAAGTCAAATACTTGAAAATACGTAAGGCGTAGAATTTACCCCCTTAAACTACTCACCTCTCAAGTGTCGATACTTTAATTCCTTGGACGCGGAGTCCCTTAACCCGATTGCTTCCTTAATCCTATTAACCGAAAATGTATTCCCTTAGCCGGTATTCCTCAACTTAGTTCATTTAACATACTAGGAAATTTCTCTCCTTAATTGCTTAGTCCCAAAATTCTTTTAAAAGGTCCTTAATCTCTTTAAAATAATTTCCTCAAAACAGGATATTTTTCCAACATTTCCAATACTTAATTTATATCAATAAAATCAATAACCCATTGAATAAACTTCTCAAAATCCTCATTAAATTTATTTTAATATATTTTCCACTTAAAACTATAAATTATGGCCTTGGGTAACTCAAATCATTAATCAAAATTGTTAACCATAAATGAAACCTTGAAAATCCCTTTTTCTATTAAAGTTTACCATAGAATAATTTTATGACCAAGATATGAACGCATGTAATTCTGACCCATAATTTTATAACATCCAAACATAATCCTAGTTTCAAGGAAAATTAACAAATCAACAAAAAAACTTTGTACAGTATTTTAATTTATTAAAACCAAAAGTCGTTCAATTTTTATAAACACAAATACAGATCCAAAAATTCTAAATTTTATACACAAGCATCCTATGAATTTCATCAAATTTATAAAATTATCACATTATGAAAATACGCACTGGAAAGAGTCGGAAATAAACATAATCATGAAAATAATACAATTTTTGGGCCAGATTATCAAACTTAAAATATTGTGACTAAGTTGCTCGCACTGAATGTTCGAGGGACCGATCTGGTTATTTCCCAAATACAATTGCAGACATATCATCATACTTTTCGAATAAGCTGAAATGGTACCTGAACTAATGGGTTTTCGTTCCAAACTTTCGATGCTCGTTTCTCCCTCGTCCGACGTCGAAATTCGATTTCGACGAAACGGTGATGATCCTGGGATCGTCCTCTTTGCAACAGTAACGAATTTTTGAAGTATTTTCGAAGTCAACAAATTCAATGATGCCGGGTTGGCCTTTGGAGGTCGCCGATACTATGGTGTAAAGCACGAGTTCCGAGTTAGCTTCCAAAGATTCAAACTCAAGAAATTTGTACGATGGAGATTCTAACCTTCTGGGATGTGTTTCAGATGAGAGACGGGTGGAGAACTGATCGACGAGCAGAGTTACTTGCGGAGGCGGGAGGCGGTGTACGCTCGACGCGAACCGAGGCGAGTTGCTGCTTTCGTTGGCCGCCGGTGATTTGGGACGTCCCACGCCCTGCTTCTGATCGAGGTAAGTTGGTGAGGTAGCCTGGGAAGTGATGATGATGGTGTTCGTCGGCTGGTGGTGGCTATGTGTTTGACGGTGGGGAGATGAGACGTTGGCGGGCGGAAGCAACGGGAAGGGAGGAAATTCGATGATGATGGAAGGACGAGGTGGTGGTGCTGAGAACCAGTCGTGGCAGTGAGGAGATGAGAATGAGATGAAGTGAGTGACGGTTTGGTGTATTGTTGGAGGAGAACAGATTCGTTATTCATGGAAGGAAGAAGCTAAGTTGATTTAAGCTAATTGTTGAAGGCCACCGACAATGCATTCGCCCAGCTGCCAACGATCTTATTAATTTTTGCCAGCTTTGTCTTGGCATGGGTAGAGATATGTGGGTTACATGTTAGCTCTGCTATTCTTGTTCCATAGTGGTGAAGAGTAGATCCCAGAAGGTAAATTATATAATTTGGTCTCTTGTGGGCTTTACAGGAAACTAGGACGAGAGACATAGGATGGGGGAAAATAATTTGATCGTTGGGGTTTACTGGGCTGGGTTAATTGGGACCAAGAGGGGAGGATTATTGTTGGGGTGGGGACGTGGGGTGGGTTTGCTTTTTTTTAAACTTAACTAATAATAATAGTTACTATTATTACTATTATTATTATTCATAATCCGCAGTTGCAATTATTCATACATAACCGTCTATTCAATCGTTCACTTACTATGATTGAAATCGAACCCAAATGTCATGGTGTTACATTTCCTCCACCCTTATAAAAATTTCGTCACCGAAATTGGAAACAATTTTGAACCGTGAACAACCACTTGTACGATAGTACGCTGAGTTTGAAGGAACTAGTCGGTTGGGATATAACATTTCCTTCCCCCTAATTAAAATTTCGATCCCGAAATTTTTGGGCTAAACTGTGTTTTTGTACTTATCGGAACAAGACTTAATCATCGGTACTATTATTAAATAGTGCGTATTGAGAGTTGAACGCTAAATTACATTGGGACCGACCAACCACCGATCTAATCATCATTAAAAAATTCCGGGTACTTCTCTCGCATGCTAGTTTCTGTCTCCCAAGTCACAGCCTCGTTGCCCTGGTTCCTCCACATCACCTTTACCATTACAATCTTCTTTTTTCTCAATTTCTTTTTCTGTTTATCCACGATCTTGACTAGGGTTTCCTCGTAAGTCAAATCTTCCTCCAACTGGATGTCCTCATGCATGATCACATGTTCAGGGTTAGATCGATACGCCCTCAGCATGCTTACATGGAAGACATCATGAATCCTAGATAGTCTAGGAGGTAAAGCTAGTCGATACGCTAAGGGTCCCACACGCTCTAGTACCTCGTATGGCCCGATATACCTCGGACTAAGCTTTCCCTTCTTGCCGAATCTCATTACTCCCTTCCAAGGAGACACCCTCAGAAATACCATATCACCCACTTCATGACTGCGTGGGTTTCCTGGCCTCTCAGCATTACTTTTCTGCTGGTCCTAGGCCACCTTCAAGTTTCGACGAATTGCCTCCACCTTTTTCACTGCCTTCTGTACCATATCCGGACCTTCTAGTTGTCTCACTCCTTCTTCATCCCAGTATAGTGGTGTGCGACATTTTCTCCCATACAATACCTCATATGGAGCTGCTTGTATCGAGCTGTGATACTGGTTATTGTAAGTAAACTCCATTAAGGGCAAATGCTCGTCCCAAGCTCCCTCCATCGTCAATACACACGCCCTCAGCAGGTGTTCCAGCATTTGAATCGTCCTCTCTGATTGTCCATCACTTTGGGGGTGATATGCAGTAGAGAAATGCACCTTAGTGCCCATAGCCTTCTGAAGACTCACCCAGAATCGTGCAGTGAAGCTAGGATCGCGATCAGACACGATGATAAGTGGAACTCCATGTAGCCTTACTATCTCTGTCACATACAATCTACCCAGTTCTTCCAGCCCCGGCTTAAACTTGATTAGTATAAAATGAGCCACCTTTGAGAATCGGTCCACAATTACCCATACTCCGTCATTTCTTTTCGGGGTCCTCGGCAAGCCATACACAAAGTCCATAGTGATCTTCTCCCAAGTCCATTGTGGAATCTCTAGTGGTAGGTGTTCAATGACTGGGGCTTGATGCTCAGCCTTAATCATTTGACACTCCACGCACTGGTAAACATGTGCTGCTACATCCTTCTTCAATCTTGGCCACCAAAAATGCTCCCAGGGTGCATTGCATACGGTGCAGAGTGAGCCTCGTCCAGAATGTCCTTTCTCAACTTGTCGACATTTGGCACACACAATCTTCCTTGATACATCAGTACACCATTTACCAGTTCAAATTTGGTGTCCTTCCCTGCCAGCATCTGTTTCTTGTACTTCTCCGATTCTGTATCTTCATCCTGCTTCTCCTTAATCCGTTCCTGTAACATAGGGTGAACTTATAAGGTTGCTAACAGCTTTGCCACCTTCTCTAACTCCAATTCCACGTTCATAGCCCTCAAAGAGACCAATTCCGATAAAGAACTTTCCCTCTTCCTACTTAAGGCATCGGTTACCACGTTTGCCTTCCCTGGATGGTACTTAATAGTGCAATCATAATCGCTTAATAACTCCATCCACCTTCTCTGTCTCATGTTCAAATCCTTCTGATCAGTTAGGTGCTGGGGACTTTTGTGATCAGTAAAGATGGTGAAAGTCTCGCCATATAGATAGTGTATCCATAGCTTTAAGGCGAATACCACTGCTGCCAACTCCAAATCATGGGTGGGGTAGTTCACCTCGTGGGGTCGTAGTTGCCTCGAAGCGTAGGCGATCACCTTTTTATCTTGCATCAGCATGCAACCCAACCCTTGATAAGAAGCATCGCTATAGATGGAATACTTCCCATCGCTTGTTGGTAGTGCCAACACTGGTGCAGACGTCAACTTCTTCTTCAGCAACTCGAATGCAGCTTGACACTTCTCGTCCCATACAAATGCCTTCCCCTTCGGCAACAATTGAATCATGGATCTCGCAATACTGGAGAAGCCTTCTACAAACCTCCGGTAGTACCCAGCTAAACCCAAAAAACTCCGTACTTCGGAAACGTTCTTTGGTGGTATCCAGTTTGTCACAGCTTCAATCTTCTTAGGATCCGCTTCAACTCCACGACCAGAGATCATATGCCCCAAAAATAGGACTTCGTCTAGCCAGAAATCGCATTTAGAGAACTTGGCATACAACTCTTCCTTCTTCAGTTTCTGTAACACCACCCTTAAGTGCTCTTCATGATCTTTCTCGCTCTTAGAGTAGATGAGAATGTCATCAATGAAGACGATGAAAAACTTATCTAGATATTCATGAAGAACTCGGTTCATCAAAGCCATGAAAGCTGTCGGTGCATTAGTCAAATCGAACGGCATGACCAACAACTCGTAGTGGCCATATAGTGTGTGGAATGTCGTCTTAGGTATGGAGCCGTCTGCTACCCTCAATTGATGGTATCCGGACCTCATATCAATTTTTGAGAACACTTATGCTCCTTGTAACTGGTCGAAGAGATCGTCTATCCTTGGCAGAGGATAACGATTCTTGATGGTTGCCTTGTTCAACTTCCTATAGTCGATGCACAGTCTCATACTGCCATCATTCTTCTTCATGAACAACACTGGTGCTCCCCACGGTGATACGCTAGGGCGGATGAAACCCTTCTCCAATAGCTCTTCTAACTGCTCCTTCAGCTCCTTCAACTCCACTGGTGCCATGTAGTATGGAGGAATGGATATTGGTGCTGTACCAGGAACCACTTCAATATCAAACTCTACCTCCCGTTGTGGCGGTAATCCAGGAAGATCTTCGGGGTATTCTCTCACCATAGGTACATCTTCTATTTTCTTCTCTTGAACCTCCTTGATATGGGCCAAGTAGGCTTCACATCCTTTTTGGATCAACAAGAAGGCCTTCATCGCAGAGATTAAGCCTCCTGGAATCAGCTTTCTAGTACCCTTGAATAATGCCATGCCCTTGCCCTCAATTTCAAGGCTAACCTCCTTCTTGTAACAATTCACCCTTGCTCGGTTCTTGGACAGCCAATCCATACCAAGTATGATGTCAAACTCGTCAAACGGTAGTATGATCATATTTGCTTCGAACTCGTAACCAGCCACTGTGATAGTGCAATTCCTAATGACGGAATCCACTATCAATGTATCCCCTACTGGGGTTCTCACTCCTAAGTTCTGACCCAACTTCACTGATGGTATTCTTAAGTTTCTAGCAAACTTTGTAGAGATAAATGAATGCGTAGAACCAGAATCGATGAGCACAAAAGCTAAATGTCGGTAAAGAGTAATCATACCCGTCACGACTTCAGGTGCAGCATCAGCCTCTTCTCTCCTCATGGAGAAGATCCTTGGTTGCCCAGCTGCCTGAGACCTTTGGCCCCTATCATTACGGATGGACCTCCCAGCATTTCCTCCATTGTTGTTGAAAGATCGGTTTGGCTGATTGCCAAACTGGTACCCGGTGTGAGTTTTGCCTCCTCCACCACGAACAGACTGTTCAGACTGAGTCCTCCCTTGACCTCCATTCTTAGGGAATTCTCTGGCGAAATGTCCTAGCTCATTGCAGCGGAAGTAGACCCCTAAGTGCAGCTTGCATTCCCCCTGATGAATCTTCCCACACTGGTTGCAAGTACCCCTGTTACTATAGGTCGGACCCAACTTAATCGAACCAGCCCGACTTTGAGTGCCTCCATAACTGGGTGGACCATTTGGCCTCCTCCTGTTCTGACTCATCTGGTTTGGTCCCTCTGTGAAGCTCATAGCCTTTCTCTTATGACCATCTCGTTGTACCCTTTCTTTGTACAAGCTCTGTTCTACCCTCTCCTCTCGGAGGGCTGCCTGATAAATCTCCTCTCTACTGTTCCATACATGTGCGCTCATGTCCCTCCTAAGGGTAGGCTTCAGGCTCTTTAGATAGTGATTGCGTTGAATCCCAGCATCCTGGAACTGTGGCCCGCCATAAGGGAGCAGTTTATCAAACCGAGATGTGTACTCCGCCACAGTCTCTCTTGTTTCACTTCCCCACTTTTGCCTGATCATAATGAATTCCCTCTGCTGCTCGGTCCGATAGGACATTGGTATGTAGTGTCTTTGAACAGTTGTACAAACCCTGGCCAAGTGATGGCTGGTGGATCCTCCCGACTGGCTGGCTGTGTAGCCTACCAGTTGTAAGCAGCACCCTGCAGTAGGGACACTGTCAGCAACACTTTGTCCTCGTCAT